GCTGTGGTTAATGAGACCAACACTGGCAGAAAATAAGTTATAAAAATAACAATAATACAATTATTATATGACTCTACTTACATAAAAAAGTTAGAAAACAGTTTCCAGCCCAGAAAGTTCATGCGAAGAAAGTAATAATTATTCGTCTAGAACAATTATTTTGTGACCACTGAACCTGAGTTGGTTGATTAAAAGCGACGTATCAAGAAGTTCTCCGGAGATGCTGGTTCGACGCCTATGGTCGCCTAGTTTTCTGACGTTCAGATCTGAACGCTTTTTTTATTTCCTGTGGACTGATTTTTATTGCTTGTGCTAACAGAACCACTTTGTTACGTTATTGGGGCTCAATGGGGTTTTGTGGTCTTCAACAAAACGGCGGTGGAGGTGCTTAAGGTAAACACTAACCCACTCTGTGTCTAATCGGAGGCGGCTTTGTGCTAGGAAAACATTGTCCCACAGTAGAGAATGTCGAAAGGGGTAGAAAAAACAAACGATAACAGTCATACTTTCTAGAATCGAATGAAAGTAACAACGTACAAATCACTTTAAAAAAGGAACGTTAATGCGTATAAGCATGTGGCAAACGCCGATGTATGTAACATGAAAAACAAACAACAAAAGTGTCCTTTGTCTTTTTTTCTAGTGGTATTAACTTCTTCCACCTTAGAGCCCGAGACAATATCGAGGCTGGCAGGGAAGGGGTTAACACTTGTGAGGTGGATAGGTGGCAAGGAAAGGGTTAACACTTGTGAGATGGGGAGGTGGCGGGTGAAGGGCAGCAACAATAGTACAACACCAACAAAAACAAATATCACAAACTGACCACGGCGCCTGGGGTGGTATATGCTCATTCAGAGAGTCTCTACTAATGCTGGACACAATGCCCAGAACAACACTTCAGACAAACAAACAAATCTTGTTGGCCGGCTGTGTACAGGGCAAGCAACTTGGCCGGCTCTTGGCTATTGGTTGATTCTCGTGAGTGGCCGGGGGGGGGGGGGGGGGGGG